GGGGGGCAAAATTTATTATGGTTTATAATGGCAAATGATACTTTGAATATTACATGTTAATAACTTGATTGGAATTATAACCTTGAATTGACAGTTTGATACTTTGAAAATTTTGAGCCAACCCTATCCCCAATGGCTATAGGGTGGGGTTCAAAGGAGTCAGTGTGCTAAAATTGCTTCATTTTCCTTGTTAAGAATCAGAGGTGCTAGTTTCAAATCCTTTTTAATCTGAAATCTGTATGCTAGATATTGAGTAAGGTGGTTTTATTGTTTTTTGTCACTTTGAGTCACTCATATTTCTGTTCATGTTAAAAACAAAATCAACTCTCTGTATAAATATATCAGGTGATCGTTAAAGCCCATGGGCCTCTTGTTATTTTAAAGTGTGTCAAGTTTTACTTCTGAAGTGTTACATTAAAAAATCGAACTATCCCGCTGTCTCCGACCTCGTACTATACAATGCGGAAACGAAAGTGCGAAAGTCTAAAACAAATCACTGTAATGGAGCGTACGCATAGTTGATTCTGTAAATGAAACACACACATAGTATATCATACATGTAACACATTGATTAATTAAAGCCAAAAGTGACACCTGACACCTCCTCAACTCGATGTAATCAACAGCAATTATGTATTGTTGTTAAATCTCACGATCGACTTTCAAAGCCATAATACTGGCTCCTGTAAAAACACGAACCCGTGAAGCTGTCCTATGTTGTGATTTTAACTCACTGTGGAACTCTTTTATGCATGACCACGCTTTGTGACCAATTTTCAGGTTTGCACTGTCGTTTGTTCAGGTGTACAAATAAGTAAACGGACTTGCAGTAAGTACAGAATACTGTCTATCAACAGTGATGAAGTTTGTTTTTTATTATGAACAACATGGTTTTGACAGTCCGCACACTTTATAGTCTGAAGCTTTGTCGTAAATTCTTTTTACCGATTTCATATTAGTCTACTCACAAAAGATGTTCATAAACACGGAATGGCGAGATGTATTTGTATCAAAGAATTATCAAGTGACAAAATGAAATTCGAACACTATAAGTTAGACGATGTTTTGATGTTGGATTTACGCTATTGAAACCAATATCTTACTTCGAAAGGTATCCAAGTTTTTCGACTTTTCAGGGTTCGAATTATCAGAGTTTTATCAAATAAGATAAAGAAGATATTTGGCTTGGACCGTAGAAATAATTCGAGGTAAACGGGGTCTTCGAGTTAAAAAGAGTTTGAGATAACGAGGTTCAACCGTATAAGATATGGTAAAACAGATATTTATATAATAAGAAAATAAATAAATAAAACTATTTTCCATTCAACCCCCTTCTCCCAAAAACAACAACAGCAATAAATATAGGAACCTCTCTGTAGTAAGTAATTGCATGCGTAATATTAGCTGTCTGTGATAGTTAAACATGTGTAATACCTGTCTGTAGTAATAAATGCATGTGTGATACCTGTCTGTGATAGTAAATACATGTGTGCTACCTGTCTGTAGTAGTAAATACAAGTGTAATACATTTCTGTGATAGTAATTACATGTGTAATACCTGTCTGTGATAGTGTATATCATGTGTAATACCTATCTGTGATAATATATACATGTGTAATACATGTCTGTTGTAGTAAATGTGTAATACCTGTCTGTGGAAGTAAATACGTGTGCAATACTTGTCTGTGATAGTATAGATATATATATATATATCTATACTATCACAGACAGGTAGTACACATGTAATTACTATCACAGAAATGTATTGCACTTGTATTTACTACTACAGACAGGGATTGCACATTATTTAATACCACATACAGGGATTACACATGCATATATTATCACAGATAGGAATTACACATGATATATGTATATGTGGAATACATGTACTACAACAGACATGAATTACACATATACATATATATATGTGCAATACCTGTCTGTGATAGTATATATATATATGTATATGTGTAATACATGTCTGTTGTAGTACATGTGTAATACCTGTCTGTAGTAGTATTTATATGTGTAATACCTGTCTGTGATAGTATATTTCACGTGTAATACCTGTCTGTGATAGTATAAAGCATGTGTAATACCTGTCTGTGATAGTATATATCATGTGTAATATCTATCTGTGGTAGTAAATACATGTGCAATACCTGTCTGTGATAGTATATATATATATGTATATGTGTAATACATGTCTGTTGTAGTACATGTGTAATACCTGTCTGTAGTAGTATTTATATGTGTATTACCTATCTGTGATAGTATATATGCATGTGTAATACCTGTCTGTGATAGTATATAGCATGTGTAATACCTATCTGTGATAATATATACATGTGTTATACCTGTCTGTGATAGTATATATCATGTGTAATACCTGTCTGTAGTAGTAATTACATAGTAAGAATGTGAAACAAACATCTATATCAGTAAACTTGGTCAAAAGCATGCCTTGTGGGGCCGGGAAAGAGGTCGTGGCAAGTGAAATCTGCATCGAAATGGGCCATTTTGGGGTATAGGTTACTAAAAACAGCTTGTCAACAAGTTAAAAATCATTACACAGGATCAGTAAACAGGTAACCCTTTTCCTATTTTTAGACACTAGAGTGTTTTTCTACCTCCGAAAGGCACGTTCAATGCAGGCCTCAGGCCACAATTAATTCTACTATATGTTACTACCAAAGGAAAAATGAAATGAAATTATTTTAAAACATTGCTCAGGGTCTGGTTCCTATTTCATATTGTAGGTCTATTCAAACTGAACATACAGTTATTTTATTTTCATTTGAATGTCACTACCCTGCATGTATATGGGAAAATACCAAAATCACTACTCAAGCCTCATCACGCTTGTGTCCGACCCGGAAGTGTAATTGTGGTCCGAGGCCATATGGCCGCCGTAAATTTGATGAGCAGACACCAGGTCGCTTAAGCGTTTGTACCGATCAGGGAAATATAAGGAATAAGCATGTTCATGATAAAGACTTTTGTTTTTAATGGACGCCGCAGAGGATTTGACGAGCACGCGTCCTTATAAAATGTGGAATTTCTCCAAAAGCAAGAACGTTATATAGGTCTCATGTAGTTTTTCACTATTAAAGTTGGAATTTTGAAGATATCTCTTTTATTTTATTTTTTATTTATATTATATAAAGAACCTATTATTTTTAATTGTTTAAAATCCATCCCAATTCATAGGGGCAGAAAGAAGGGACCTAATAAGGGATGTGAGTTGCTGAAATATAGAGCCAATATCTGGCAATAGTTGCAGTATTATATTAAATAAAAACATTTTCTCATGGTTGCTTTATTATCCTGGTGAGCTATATAGGCCCTCAAGGCCTCTTGTTATACAGATGAATGATTCATCTTTCTGTGAAACCTTGTGATAAACAGTTTTTTCAACTGGTATAAAATAAGTATTCTTTCTGCATACGACTGCATAATGAGCATTGCATGATTGGTTAAGCACATAGTCATACCTTGTCGATTTTAACAGACGGTAAGTTGTATACTCTGTTTACCTGTGTTTGTTCCACTAATTTCTATTTATTTGGTTCTACAAAGTAAAATATACCCATTCGTACACACAGCAGCCAGATTTGTAAGGATTGTGAGGTACTCAATTTTGATTCTTTCATATCATTTAGGATATATCTGGATTAAAGCCAGGTAATTTGGAAAACAACATGGCTAACAACCCACGAGTGTGCGTCATAGGCGCGGGTCCAAGTGGCATGTCCTTTCTATACCACAACAATAAGCTAAAAGTGGCCGGGAAAAAGTGTGCCGATGTCGTCTGCTACGAAAAACAGTCCAACTGGGGAGGATTGTGGAACTATACCTGGAGAACAGGTGAGTGTTTCTCATAAACTAGACGAGATTGTCATTGCCTGTGTTATAAAATAGACGAGATTGTCCTTGCCTGTGTTATAAACTAGATGATATTGTCCTTGCCCGTCTCAAAATTGGTCATTCATGCATAACCCGTTCTTATTTATTGAGAAGCGAAGACCAGCCTCAATGCATAGAATGTCTTTTAGTAAAACACTTATCATTAGATTGCATTGACCTTCAGCTAACATTCGAAAAAAATATGATAGTATAACAGTATATTACTGTTTAGTATCAATAATTAGTATGTAATAATATATTATTAGTATATAGTGATGTTTTATAATTCTAACCTAACTAATAAATGTTGGTCTATTCAAAAGAATTATAGCCATTTTTACAATATTTCGAGGTGGCGTTTGTCGTTTACAATTTCGTTCGTTTGATGTCATACCCTTTAACATGTTTTATTTATTTTTATTGGCCCTAATGACCTCTTTTGAGTTGATTGGCAGTTAGAAATCAAATAATAATCATTCTTATAAACCTGAAACGATAGAGTGTATATATCCATTGTTTATTTCTCGCTCATGCTCTACATGTTTGATATGCGCATTAATGCCCGTCATTAGATATTCCAATTAACAATTATATATGTGCAAGTACACGTGTGTCTCTTTTGTTCATATTTGAAGAGATGCATGTCGATGAAGAAATGACAAAATCACCATTTCGTAATATTCTGTTTTTTTGGACCCATGAATATCATTTTAGGACCCTAAACGTTCGTTGCGATTAGTCAAGTTACCTGTTTAAGAATAAGTGACCACTGAGTTTGATTCACATGGAAGGTTTCGTCGATGGAGCAAAAGAAGAAAAAAGCATTTGTCTTTTTTCTCCGTGTGGTTTTTAAGGCGTTTACCTGTAATTGTTTTCTTTTGTCAAATTTTGCCATTGTTTCGTCGATTTTGAATCAAAGTTAAACATTGGAATGATCTTGCTTTTAATCATATCGCCATTGTTTATGTTCGGATTCATATATATAAAACTGGAGGGATAAACCAAACCAGAACACTGATATCGGGCCGATTTTGGAATCTTAATCGACCCAATGTCGGTTTTAGGAGCGGGGCGACATTGGGCAAGCCTCCAATTGCAACACATGTTGATGTTGGCCATTAACATGCTAGGATGAAGAACTACCAAGTTTGTTAAAATGAATGACCTTGACAAATGTTCAAGGTCACAGGGGTCAAATATGTTTGAAACATTTAAACAACTTCTTCTGAATAACCAAGAGGCCTAGGATAATGATATTTGTCCAATAACATGATAGGATGAAGGACTATCAAGTTTGTTCAAATGAATGACCTTTACTTATATCCAAGGTCACAGGGGTCAAATATGTTTAAAACCTTTGAATGACTTCTTCTTAATAAGCAAAAGGTCAAGGGTGATGATATTTGGCCATTAACATGCTGGTATGAAGGGCTACCAAATTTGTTCAAATGAATGACCTTCGCCAATACTCAAGGTTACAGTGGTCAATATATGTTTAAATCTTTAAATGATTTGTTCTGTATAACCAAAAGGTGCAGGTTAATGATATTTTGCTAGAAGCATCCTGGGTTTGCAAACAATAAACTCTGTTCAACCTACTGTCCTTGTTCGACATTCAAGGTCACAGGCGTCATACGTTTAAGTCTTTTAATAAGTTTTTATGAATCAAACACTGATATTCTGCCTGAAGTTGTATTTTAGTCCACTTTTAAGTTTACAGGTGAGCGATTCAGGCCGATTGGGCCTCTTGTTTAAAGTAATTTACTTAACTTGGGATAAAACAAAACTGCACTCGTTTCTCATTTTATTGTTAATTTAATCCCAGCGACAATTTGAGTAAGCTGATGCTAATAATAGAAACATTGTTGATATGTCCCGAATGGTTTCAGATGGACGAACTGTTTGACTGGATACCATCTAAAGCGTGCTTCACATCGCTGCAAATTTGTGCATTCACTTGAATCAAAAAGGCTGTTTGCCTTTGCTTAATGCAGACGTCACATTGAGTCCCAGTATATTCTGTCCGATGCCGCCAGCATTTTATACGTTAAAAACAACTAAACAGATATAAAATTATTATATAGTAATCAGGTTGTTCGTCCGTCCGTCCGTCTGTCAGTCTCGTCCGTCTGTCTGTCCGGGTTTTTTCTTTTGCACAATATTGATGGAGGTAAATGGAGTATGTTTTTAAAATTTTACATGATGATTTCCCATGCATACTAACTCTGCATGGTAATTTTTCAGACAGATCGGATTCAAAATGGCTACTTATCAACCATCTTGGATTTTAACATTAAACAATTCAAATTGTTTTGCTCTTAACTGGTCAACATTTTGCTGACATAATGAAGTAAAGTTGGTCACAATACAACAAGAAGTCAACTTATCGAAGGTCAAGGCCATCGGATCAAAGGTCAATGTCAGATTTTGTATATTTTAACTGCTTAACATTTTGTTTTGACATTATGAAGCAAAGTTGGTCACAATCAAACAAGGTATCAACTGATCAAAGCTGAAGGTCATTGGGTCAAATGTCAAGGTCAAATTTTACATCCCTCAACTGGTTAACATTTTGTTATGACATAATGAAGCGAATTTGGTCAGAATCAAACAAGGTGTCAAGTGACCAAACCTGTAGTTCATTCAGTCTAAATATAAAATATTTTAAACATATTACTATGCAAATTGTATGTTGAATTAAACTTGTGTACAAGAAGTAAAGTCCAGTTTACCAGTTAGCCGATTGCAGACATGTTTAATACGACTGCTGTGCTCATAAGGGCCACGTATCGGAGATACGGGTGCCCTATAGTAATCACTCTGTCTGTCTTTCTGTGTCTGTCCGTCTGTCCGTCGGTCCGTCGGTCCACAAATTTTGTTCCTGATTGATTACTTTGGTATTTATTGACTGATTTACATGAAACTTGGTAAAGATGTTCAGTTCAGAAAAATATACACTGAGGTAAAAAGGTCAAAGGTCAAGGTCATTAGTTTCTAAGGTCGAGTTCAAATTTTTCATCTTTTCACTGATGAACATTTTGTTATGACATGATGAAGCAAAATTGATCAGAATTAAACAAGGAGTCAACTGATCAAAGGTCAAGGTCATTGGGTCAAATGTCAAGTTTAAATTTTGTATCTTTTCACTGGTGAACATTTCGTTTTGACACTTTGAAGAAATGTTGCTCAGAATGTTTATAAACAAGGAGTGAATCGACCAAATGTCAAGGTCACTTGGTCAAAGGTCAAGGTCAAATTTTGTATCTTTTCCCTGATGAACATTTTGTTATGACATTGGTCGGAATTTTAACAAGGAGTCAACTGTCTTAAGGACATGGTCACTGGGTCAATGCCAAGGTCAACTATTGTATTTTTAGCAAGGTGAGCTTATGCCATACCGTGGCGTCCGTCGTCCGTACGTCAACAATTTCTTTAAACGACTTCTTCTTCTTAACCGCAGATTGGAATTTAACTAAATTTGACTGGAAGCATCACTAAGTGGATGGGATTCAAAATTGTACAAATGGTGGGGCTGTATTGCTTTAAGTGACTTCTTCTCTGGAACCAAGAGATGTATGTCAATCATATTGTACTGGAAGCATCCCTAGGTAGCGGGGAGTCAAAATTGTACAAATGGTTGGGCTGATCACCGAGGGGTCTGAGGGTTGGGGCCAAAAGGGGCAATTTGACTATATTGCTATAAACATCTTCTTCTGTAGAACTATGCCATGGATATCAATCATATTTGGTCGGACGCATTTAAGGGGGGTGGGGATTAAAAATTGTACAAATGGTGGGGATGACCCCCCAGGGAGCTGAGGGGCGGGGCCAAAAGGGATAATTTTGGCTATATTGCTTTAAGCGACTTCTCCTCTAGAACTAAGAGATGGATATCAACCATATTGTACTGGAAGCATCCCTGGGAAGCGGGGATTCAAAATTGTACAAATAGTTGGGCTGAGGGGCGTGGCCAAAAAAGGTAATTTGGCTATATTGCTATTAATGACTTTTTCTGTAGAATCATATTTGGTTGGAAGCATTCATGGGAGGCAGGGATTCAAATTAAAGGAGTAGTGGGGCTGACCCCCTTGGCTAAGGGGGGGGGGGGAGTTTAATGCTTGGAAATAGTTGAGATCCCCACCCTATAACCATATATACAATTGCTGAGAATGAAGAGAAAAATGCACATATGTCTCCAGGATTGCCAAGGGGTCTGGCCCCACCCTTGAAGACAAAGTCCCTGGGTCATAACTTTGAAACGGTTGAGATTCCCCCCCCCCCCCCCCCCCCCCAAAAAACTGTATATACAAATGCTGGGCATAAAGAGACGAATGCAGTCATGATATAAGAATAGATTCCAGAGTCCGCCCCGCCCTCGCATACTTAACCTCTGGTTCATAACTTTGAAACAGTTGAGATCCCCACCCCAAAACTGCATATACAAATGCTAGGCATAAAGAGACGAATGCAGTCATGATATTATAATTGATCCTGGGGTCTGGCTACACCCTAGGGACCTTGTGTCTGAGTCACACCTTGGAAACAGTTGGGATCCCCACCCCATAGCCATACATAAAATTGCTGGGCATAAAAAAACCACTATACAGATAGGATACAAGTATTGTCCTTTGGGTCTAGCCCATTGTTACGGCACGATTTGTCATCCGGACACGATTTCTCACCCGGGTGAGAAATCGTGTTAGGAGTAGGCATATTACCCGTTGACACGAGTAAGAACACTGATTTTGATTTTTGGGGATTGTGGTGTGGTGTATTTATGCTTGTTTATTTAGAAACTACTGTGCAAACCGCAGCGTCCGCCGTCCATCGTCCGTCCTTCCGTCCATCTTTTTCCTTTAAAATTCTACTTGTCCTGAACGACCCAGTAGATTTGGACTGAATTTGGCCTGGAGCATCTTTAGGCCAAGGGGACTCAATTTTGTATAAACAGTGGATGTGCTATCATAAAGATTATGCAGTGGATGTTCTATCATAAAGATTATGCAGTGGCGGATCCAGAGACCTATCTGGGGGGTTTCAGAATTGCCAGGGGGGGGGGGGGNATTGAGGAAAATGATGAAAAATACATGATTTTTAAAGAAAATTCTCAGGGTGTGGGATTTCTTGAGCCCCAAAAACCCCTCTGGTCCGCCCCTTATTGGATTTCATCCCAATTTGGTCACGAGCATTCTTTGACCAAGGGGACTTAATTTTGTTAAAATGGTGGATTTGGACCCTCTGGGTGGAGAGGGGCGGGCCCCAATAGGGGAAATAGAGGTAAAACCTTGAAAACCCTGCTTCTGCCGTAGGGATAAAGGGGTTTTTATCGTAATTTTGCCTGGAGCATCCAGGGACTTGATCTCTTATAAACGGTGGGTGTGGCCCCTTGGGTGTAAAGTGGCGGGGCTCAGAAGGTAAATTGAGGTTTAACTCTTTAAAATCCTTCTTCTTATGTACCATCTGAGGGATTTTATCCGAATTAAGCCTGGAGTAGCATTGGGCAAAGGGATATTAATTTTGTATAAATGATGGGTGTAGAGTTGCTGGGCTCATTAGGGGAATTTGAGGTTTAATTCTTTAAAATACCTCTTCTGTACCATTGGAGGGATTGTTTGTAATAAGAATATTTTTCCATGGTTGCTTTATTATCCAGGTGAGCGATTCAGGCCATCTGGACCTCTTGTTTTATTTTATCGCAACACCTTTGACTTACAATGGTATACAAAGATATGTAACAGACACAGATTTAATGTATACGCATGCGTGGTTGTACAGAGGGATACAAGTATCATAGTAATAGAGGTGTACTGCAGTTACATATACATATATATATATACACATGTAGTCACTAATGATATTCGGTGTTAAATTTCCGAACAGATCCAAATCATGGCCTTTCATTTGCTGAGTCATTTCAGGCTATAACAATTTCTGTTCTGATTTATGGACCACAATAAAAGTTGTTTAATTGAATATTATAATCATGTTCTTGAAAATGGGAAAAACGACCAACATCTTACGCAAAATGGCTGCTGCACATTGGCTTCTGATTAGTCGAAATTTATGCATTGTCCGATATCCCTATGTAAAAGTGTGCAGTGTCAATACAAACACTACTGCAATCTGCGTTGTATTTTTAATTTGACAAAATGTCCGTGTAAGGTCGGGTCCTGAATGGTCGACATTTAGATATTGACCGATGTTATAGATTTGGTATGTACATTGTTATGTAGGATTGTTAACGGTTAGCCGGTATCTCGGGCGAAAGACCACGAACTGGTTACTAAAATCCCCAACCGAAAAGTCGGACATTTACTTACCCCTTTTGGGAGCCACATGTTTCCCTGGCTTAGAACAACAAAATATCTGCATATTTATAGATGCGACCAAAATTGGTTATTTTTGTAATAAAAAGAGTGTTCTGGGATTACATGTTCGTGTTAATTTTGTACTCCAATTTAAATACCGACAAAGAGATGTCGCCAACACCATAAAAAAATCTGAACAGATTTTAAAGGGAAGCCAGAATACAAAGCTGTGAAACATGAACTTTCTGAGAACGCGCCTTAACATGCGAGATGTAAAGATAATCTGATATGAAAAGTACACACTTGAATGAGCAAGCCTGTCTTAAAACGTTTGTCACACAAATTTTGTTCTAAAGAATAATATTACCGTATATCATTTCGAGTACAGATAACTGTAATTGAATCCGTCTTATGATGTAACAGTTCATGTTACGAATAGATATTGTTATACTTTATAATAAAAAAAGGAAATGTATATGTACCCTTCCAGAGCAATGATTTCAGATCTGCTTTAGTAAGTTCATGTTGTGTAAACATTCGTGTCCTTTGTTCCTTTGACCACAAAAAGTTGTCCTTTGTTAGATATGGCTTGCATATTATTTTATATACGGTATACATCTCGCGCAAATTGTCTTTTGAAAATGTCTCTATGTTTAGGATATTCAGTGGAATGAAATGTAAATGAATAATAATAATAAAAAGATAAATACAGGTACTGCCATCAAAAGAAGAAGTAGCATATGTGTTTATTTCCTCAAAATTAAGGTGAACCGGATTGCGTTTGAATGTGTTTGAAAAGGTGCGCCCACGTGCATTGTATGAATCGGGCAACAGTATTTTTCTTTCATCGTCTAATTGAAACTGTGAAGATTTTGTAAGATTTCTGTTGCGTATTTCAAAAGTAAACGAATAACTAGATTGATAGCTAAATCAAGCAATAACTATTTGGCATGGTGTACATTGAACTACTACTCATTTGATATCATGTCAGCTCATCTATTACATGTTCACTTAGGCAAGTTATAAGACACCACGGACAAAACCCATCCCCAATTGAGATAGAGAGTTGGGGCGAGAAATAGTGCCGGGTGAGAAACCGTGTCACCTATGCCCATAAGGGTGAGAAATCGTGTTGCGAACGCAGCAATTTTAGCACGATTTTTCACCCTGGTGAGAAATCGTGCCGTTACACCCATTCCTTTGGATCTTATTTGGAGAACATTTTGCCATGATTACTTTGATATCCAAGTGAGCGATACAGGCCCTCTGGGCCTCTTTCTTATGTTATTATGAAGCAAAGTTGTTCAGAACTTAACACAGAGTCAACTGACATAAGGTCCAGGTTACGGGGTCTAAAGGTTCAAGGTCAAGGTCAAGTTTTGTTTTTTACACTGATGAACATTTTGTTATGATATTATGAAGCAGATTTTGTCGGAATTAAAGAATAAGTCAACTGACAAAAGATCAGGGTTACTAGGTTAAAGGTCAAGGTCATTTGGGTCCAAAGGTCAAAGACAAAGTGGATCTCGGACTTTGACCCAGGCTTTTGATGGAGGAGGTGTTTAAGGTGAAATAAAACAAATCAAAGCTAACAAATGAGTATTGCACCGGTATTTACATTTCTGTTAGCCCAGAAAATATGGAGATGGAAGGAAACAAGACTCGCATCATAGTACATGTAAAATGTATATTTTGCTTCCTTGCGATTCTTTTGAGGTCCAAATGTCAAACTCAGCTATATGGGCAGATTGCTTCTTGATGATTATGGGGAATATATTGCCACAAGACGGGTCCCTTACTGACCTGTCAGTGTTCTAGTTTTAAATAGTGTTTAAATTTTTTGATAATTATTCATGGGAGACGTACCTGATGCTGATTAAATGGTTAAAACTTCATACTTATGACACGGTAGTGCATTCGCCTGTTAAAATTTATTCCGAATGAGTGTTTTTTCTTTATAACTCTGTAAAAGTAATTCACACTATGCATCAAAAGGCTAAAAAGGTGCGTTGTAATGGCCTCCGGTTTTTTACGATATATTATGATTTTTCTTAACAACCCACAAATACCTCAGCGCGATCGGGGTAGCTCACATTTGTAAAGTCACAACCATGAGAACTCTTGCGTTATTTATATGATGTATTGTGTTGTCTCTGATTGGTGTAGATAACATTTATCTGCATACTGAAAGTGCTGCATTTTTACAATTGAAGTGATGAGATGATTTCCTATCGAGAAGGCTATCGCTGTTCTGTAAACATGCCGATAGCGTATCCCTACATACGTTTCTCTTAAACCGTATAGCTCTGTGCAAACATTGAATACAGTTAGTGAGAAAAATAGAGAGACATGGGGGAAGGGCCTTTGGATTTTTCTTACCTGTGTTTAAAACAAATTGAAGTCTGCGCGTATCCAATGACGTACACCATCATTAGAGTCATGGGTCGGACCCGAGACATATAAAACCGGTATATGCATAAATCCCTTGTCTGTATTCCAGGGTGAACATTATTTATCAACTATAATATTATAATTTTAGCACAACGGGTCCGAAGGACCAAGGTGAGCTTATGCCATACCGTGGCGTCCGTCCGTCGTCCGTACATCAACAATTTCTTTAAACGACTTCTTTTTCTTAACCACTGATTGGAATTCAATTAAATTTGACTGGAAGCATTCCTAGGTGGTGGGGATTCAAAATTGTACAAATGGTATGGCTGACCCCCCAGGGGGCTGAGGAGCGGAGCCAAAAGGGGGTAATTTGGCTATATTGCTTTAAGCGACTTCTTCTCTGGAACTAAGAGATCGATATCAGCCATATATGACTGGAAGCATCCCTAGGTAGTGGTAAATTTGGCTATATTGCTATAAACAACTTCTTCTCTAGAACTCTGCCTTATTTCAATCATATTTGGTCGGGAGCATTCATTGGAGCAGGGATTTAAAATTGTAAAATGGTGGAGCTGACCTCCCCAGGCTAAGGGGTGGGGCCAAAAAAGGTTTATTAATTGGAAATGGTTGAGATCCCCATCGTATAACCATATATACAATTGCTGAGTATAAACAGAAGAATGCACATTTGCTTCCAGGATGGCCCTGACTCATAACTTTAAAACGGTTAAAATCCCCACCTCAAAACTATATATACAAATGCTGGGCATAAAGAGACAAATGCAGTCATGATATTAGAATAAATCCCGGGGTCTGACCGAACCCCTAGGGACCTAGTTTCTTAGTCACAGCTTGGAAACAGTCGACCCTATAACCACATACAGTGGAATCTGTATTAAGCGACCACCCAAGGGGAATTAGAAAAAACGGTCGTTTAATAAAAGTGGTCGTTTAATAAAGTATGACCATATTTTGTACACACTGTAACCGACTATAACCAAACGACTCCTTAATCAGACAACTGTAAACAGACCACCACCCCAAGCGAACGTACAGGTAGTTTAAAACAACATCGTTCAACAGATCTTGTGAATAACTTAACAATAGTCGAGTGATAATTATGACAGTAAACAAACAACTAAGAGTGTTTTAAAAGAATTGTTATTTCACTCAGAACAAACGATCGACGGAGACTTGTTGAAGTTCTCAACTTACACGACTGTGATTTCGGTAATAACCTTGATCAAACTAACTACGAAACTTACGAAATACATTGTTGTTGAAATGATGGCTGTCCCTGTGTTGGTCCAAAAGATGGGTTCGCGTGTATTATTCCATTATTTTACGATGGAAACTGGAAAGACAATCCAGTTAAAAAAATGATATAAATAAAGCCAACAGCATGTTGCCAGAAAACGAACCAGTATTGTTGTCGTTCGTACTTTGGCGTTGAGAAATTTCAAAATCTTCTTCTCAAGACCCAGATATGGTAGAATCAAATACTCTTCATAGATGGAAGGGTTTTAAGGTGCTCTACCAACCTTGTGAATTTTATGACCCTAGGGTCTCACGTTTACCCCTGGGGAAGGGGGGGGGGGCAAAATTTATTATGGCAAATGATACTTTGAATATTACATGTTGATAACATGATTTGAATTATAACCCTGAGTTGACAGTTTGATACTTTGAACATTTTGAGCCAGTTCTACCCCGTAGGGCGCCCAAAGGAGTCAGTGTGCTAAATTTTCTTCATTTTCCTTGTTAAGAATCAGAGGTGCTAGTTTCAAATACTTTTCAGTCTTAAATCTGTATGCTAGATATTGAATAAGGTTGTTTTATTGTTTTTTATCACTCTGAATAATACTTTTGTTCATGTTTTAAAAACAAAAATTAACTCTCTGTATAAATATATCAGAACTCGGGTGACCGTTAAGGCCCATGAGCCTCTTGTATATATGTACATTTGTGAGCGAGATCAGAGACGTTTTATACGTCTCTGGTGAGATATAGGCCTAATACCTGTTAGACGAAACTTACACATGAACTTAAAAACGTACATTGCAACTAAAATATTATCACAACTTGTGAAAGATTAGTTTAATATGTAATAATTATTTATAACTCAACATGGGTGAGTATATGTGTAGAGCGAATGCGGATTATTTTAGATATTATTAAATACTATGTATATAATTGTTAGTGATGTTACGAGTTTGGTAGTAACGCTCGAATCACAAGCTAAAGGTACTGATGACTAAATCTTTACCGGGATTTTATGAGAAGACAGAAGATAACTCAGGAGGATAGCAGACGACAACATCGGAATCATGGGATGGCCGCCATACTATTATTAGCGTAACATGTTCAAATCACGATGTCTGTATTACGTATTTTCGGGGGTTTTCACATATAACATGCATGCTAGAGTATTTACCTAGTTCACATAGTTCCTAAAGACTTCATTCGTATCCATTTTAAGTATCGTTGATTGTTATTTAAGCTAGGAATGACTATTTTCGTCTCCTCAAACTGTATGATGTATCTCGCCATCTTTCCACAATAACAAAGCCTTGAAGTTGTAAGCACGGCGCTGATTGGTCAGTTAGCCGTGGCCGTATGAAAGCGGAGCGCAGATTCACTTACAGTACAGTTTTTGCGCGTGAGATTATTCCACATACTATATAAACCCCGAATTTCTTGAAAATGTTGTCATTCGTTTTATTGAAACGACGGAGGTATTGACCCTCCAACCCACACATCAATATGGAGCCATTGGTAAGCTTTAAATCAATTTAAAGTGGGACGGATGACCCGGTGATCATGGTGGGGAAATATTTCCATATATAAACCACAGGATAAAAACTTCCCAA